AGGCTCCTCAATTGCCTCACCCTAATCCTGTCCTTGCCAAACCAAGCCTCATGCATTAGCTCCAAACTCCAGTGCACAACGCTTCATTCCAAATCTCCACTGAACTCCTCAGCTGACCACTGTTAATCTTACCCAGGAGCCCCTCCATCTTCCCTGCTCCCCAAGCCAAAAAGTAAACATATTCCTCAACCTCATTCTTTACTGACCCCAAAATCTAATTCATGCCCAAATCCTGCTCACTGAACTGCATAAATATTTTTTATTTATTTGAAATATATTTTTATTGATTTCAGATAGAGAGAGGGAGAGAGTGATAGAAACATCAATGATGAGAGAGGATCATGGATCGGCTCGGCTGCCTCCTGCACGCCCCCTACAGGGGATTGAGCCCACGACCCGAGCATGTGTCCTTGACTGGTATTGAACCCAGGCCCCTTCAGTCCCCAGGGCGAAGCTCTATTCACTGAGCCAAACTAGCTAGGGCTGCATAAATATTTTTTAGATTTACAGAAAAATTGCAAAGATAGTACAGAGTCTGAAATACCCCACATTAGGTTTCCCCTATTATTAACATCTCACATTAGTATGGTACATTTGTATTTTTAATTAACCAGTATTGATACATTATAATTAACTAAAGTTCATATTTTAGTCAAATTTCCTTAGTATTTTTTAATTCATATTTATTGAAGAGAGGGGAGGGGGGAGAGAGGGGGGGGGAAGGTCAATCCATTGCTCCACTTACTTATGCATCCATTGGTTGCTTCTTTTTAAAAAAATATATATTTTATTGATTTTTTACAGAGAGGAAGGGAGAGGGATAGAGAGTTAGAAACATTGATGAGAGAGAAACATCAATCAGCTGCCTCCTGCACACCCCCTACTGGGGATGTGCCCGCAACCAAGGCACGTGCCCTTGACTGGAATCGAACCTGGGACTCTTCAGTCCGCAGGCCGACACTCTATCCACTGAGCCAAACCGGTCAGGGCCATTGGTTGCTTCTTGTATGTGCCCTGAACAGGGATGGCATTTCAGGACAATATGCCATCTGAGCTACGGGGCCAGGGACAGATTTCCTTAGTTTTCACCTCGGGTCCTTTTTCTGTTCCAGGATCCCACATTGCATTTAGTCATCCCTAGGCTCCGCTTAGTTTTGCCAGTTTCTCAGACGTTCTGTTTTTGGTGACCTTGACAGTTTTGGGGGATACTGGACAAATATTTTGTAGAATGTCCCTCATTTGGGATTTGTCTAATGATTTTTTCATAATACATCTGGGTATGTGGGTTTGGGGGAGGAAGACCATAGAGTTAAAGTACTATTTTTATCACAATATATCCAGGCTACTATTTTTTTAAAATATATTTTTATTGATTTCAGAGAGGAAGGGAGAAAGA